GCTGCAGCCTTTGCAGAGTCACTCAGGGAGGATGCTGGACTCCAGCTAGCTGGGATGCACAACCACAGAGTGGGAACAGAGGAGCTCAGCCCTGCCAAACCTTGCCCTTTCTTCTCCTTCACAGAGCCATGCTGGCACGGCTGGCAGAGCGGTCCCTCCCACACCTTGGAAGTTTCTCTGGAGAGGTGATCTGTCCCTGCTGGCTGTGTCTGTCCGTATGGAATGACAGGGATGTGCCTGGGGGAGGTCTGAGATGTCCATCCACACAGTGTGTCCCTGGGGTGGATTAGCAGTAGCCCCCACTGGGCATCCTTCAGCAGTAAATAACTTGGATTGGTGAAACTCCTACATGACTTCTGATGAATGGACTGCAAAGGCAGAAGGAATGTTAATGCCCAGCCAAAGAGGAAGAGTCCCAGGACTGCCCTGGCTGGCAGCAGGGCCTGTACCCTGTACCCCAGATACATGGAGCTGTTTGTCCTCCCTTTCCCAGCACCGTGGTAAATGCCCCCAGTCCCAGGCTGCTGAGCTGGCTCCCAGATAAAACTGGGTGCCTGTCATGCTGCTGTCAAGCACAGTGGGATGTTTGTGGGGGTGGGAAGGGGAAGGGGGCTCAGCCCTCAGGTTTGGGGTGATGGTGGTGGCTACAGGGATCATTTATTTGATGGCCTGGCTAATTACAGTGTGATTGGGAAGTCATCTGGAACTCCCAGAGGCAGTGCTGCATCTTTTGACCCTGGCTGGAGGTAGAGCCTGAAGGGGAGAGACAAAAACTCAAAAACATCAACTTCTTTTCCTCCTTTGATTTCTTCCTCTTTTCCCTCTCATATGATGCTATCAGCTGGGGCCTGCAGAGCTTCAACTCAAAAACAAACCACTTTTATTTAAAGTGCCAATATTGTGCTTGGCTCCATATGAGACAGAAACATTAACTTTGTCTCTGACCTGGGGAGCGTGTCTGCCTGCCTAGCAGGCACTGAAAGTGTTGAGAAAACTGTTATTTTACTTCTATTTTGGTGCCGATTTTTAAAAATGGAATTTTTTATTGATTTCATTTTATTTTAACGGAGCATTCCCTCTTCAGCAGAGCAGCAGAGCCCACAGAACATGCAGCCATCCTTTGTGTCCCCATGGAGCTTTGTCCCTGGTGTCAGTGTTGGCTCAGGAGCTGGCAGGGCTGGGGGCAGGGGAGGGCAGCTGTCCCCGTGTTCCCGTGCCTGGGCAGTGGGACTGGAGCTGCTGTGTCCTGGTGGGTTTTCTGGATGCTGTTTCTAGGCGAGGTTTGCAAAAGGTCACAAAAAAATTAATCTGCTAACTGGGGACCTTGGCAGTGCATGCAGTGAATGTTTTGCATTAACAACCTAACTCGTTAATTCAGTGAAACATTTAAAACCAAACCAGTTATATCCAGCCAAGCTGGAAAAAGCTGAAAGTTCGTACTCAGCAGTGCAGATTTCGAAACCTCCCTTTGTTAATCTCTGTAGAAGTAAATTTTCTGCTATTGCAGAGCTCACTGTGACTGGTCTGGGCATTGTTTCCCTCAGCAGAGGCAAAGCTGCTCTGCAGAGCGTTGGTTTTGTACCTGGAACTGCCACCTTTCCCTCCAGCCTTAGTTTCTGTGAGCATCACTGTGGAAAAATTGGTTTTACTCTGCTTTAAGTCAGTTTTCCCTCAAATTTCCAGCAGCAGGGATGATTTAGGTTCACTGGACATTTGACCTGTTTACTCTGCTACCTTGCCATGAAATTAGCAGGTATAAAGTGAATAGGAATCATGAATTTAAGTACAATAACTTTGTCTTCCTGCCTTCAGGTAAGTCTTCCATTCAGCTTTGTCTCTTTGCTCCAGTTAATCATAAAACAATAGATAGGAAACAGAGTTCTTCACTCATGGCTGTGCAGATGGGTCTGAGGCATCTGCAGTGGTGATATATACACTGAGATCAATTGTAAGGATCTTTTTCAATTGATTATTTTATCTGCCATTAATTTACCCTATCCATTAGAACAGACTTACTTTAATGAGGGATAAATCAGTGAATTATCCATTTGTTATATATTAGTGCTGTATTAAAGTATTAAGTGCATTCTAGAAGGTGAGCAGTGAATAAAACATATTCCCAACATGTGGTTATGCAACTGTTCCATGGAAATGAAATGGACAAACAGTACACTTGATTAATTTTTTTCCCCCCAGTAAATTGCCACTGTGATTCACTTCCAGCTAAAATTTGCAATCTGTGTTCTCAGGTGGCATTAATATTGGAGCCCCGCAGGAGAGCTGTGGTGGCTGGGGCTGCTTTGATTGCATTTTTAAGGAGAGTTGTTGGAGAGAGCACAGAGTTTGATGCAAATGTGCTGGTAAATGAAATGCAGAGCTTTTAGGTTCTCTGTAGGTGGGTCAGGCCAGTCACACTTACCCAAAATAACAGCGGTGGAGTGCTCGGGAGAGGCACTTTGTTAATGTGGCACAATGGGGGTCTTTGTGTGTCGCTGTTGCTTTGTATCAAATTTACTCTGTTGACAGATAAAAATCATCTTTTTGATACCTAGAGACTCCATAAACACTGGGTCAGATCTGCCAGGGAGTGGAGCTGTGTCAGTAATGGAGACTGGAGTTTGCTGGAAAGAAAAAAGGTTGCAGAGGGCCCAGCAGCTTCTCTCTGTGCTAAAGCTGCAGGATGAAATGAAATAAGAATTCCCTTTTACCACTGCTTTCCTGACATGAAACTCGTCTCAGCCTTTAAAGCTGTATTTTGTAGCCTTCAGGCTGATCTTACTGCTTTTTCCCTAATTGACTCGACTTGGAAAGGTCATCACATCCTGCTAGACTGTGTAATATTTAACTTAGCATCAAAAATGAGGATCTCAGGATTGGTGTCAAATGGATGCTGTTCCCCTCTGAATAGCACAGCCCATTCATAGTCATCCAAATATTCCACTTGCTAATGCTAATGAACAACTCTCTGGCCCTCTGCAGAGGGCAGGACCAACCATGGGAAGGTGGGATGAGAGTGGCACAAAGCAGGTATTGAGATGTGAATCCACGCCGTCTAAATCCAGCTCACACCTTTAATACCCGTTTTATTTATAGAATTTTTTTTAAAGTTATAACTTCTAGCTCTTCAGGATGCCTTAGCATAGCAAGCAGTCTTTTCTGATGCCAAGTTCAGCGATGACTAACACTGTTTACAGGACTGTTTTGTAATCTCAGATCGGCCCACATTAACGGGAAGTTACGTTTTCCCGTCAGTCTTTCAAACGGTGCCTGAGAGTTGCTGAGGCCAGAGCCAGCCATCCAGGCCCTCCCGTTTGGAAAAAATGATGTCAGCTTTCAGAACAAGCTTTTTAAAAAAATCTAATAAAGTTAGGGAGGTCATTTGAAATTGAACTTCCTCCATTTGATTTTTTTTTCTTTCTTTTACATGAGGATCTTTCATTCCTCTGTTCTAAAAACTACCAACAAAACTAAGCACAGGAGGTATTGCATAAGCACCAACAAGGCATTTGCCTGATCTGCATTTCTCAGTGCATGAGATCAGCTCCAAATATCTGATCTGAGAAAGCTGCTGGTGCACAACTGCTGTAACTGATAGGAATGGACTCTGTGAGTCATCTCATAGGATGGTAAGTCTTTTTTTTTTTTTTTTTTAAGTTCAAGTTTTTATGAGTGTTTTTATAAAGCTCAGTTGCTGTTACTGTAAATCTCAGGGAAATCTGGCACAGTCTCTTTGTAATATGAATCAGTGAGTCCATATGCTTCCAAGTGACCTTGCAGTCTGGAAAAATACCATTTTATCCCTCTGTTGAAGAGAAAAAGAAAAGCAGAGTTGCTGTAGAAAAGGTTGACAGAGGGGTGGCACCAGGCAAGATGACTCCTGGTGCCAGCTACAGCAGCTCTGCTGCCCTGGGGTCATGATCTCAGGCACAGAGCATTTGCTGTGCAAGTGGGAAGGCTACCTCAGGCCAGGAATAAGGTTGTGGCTAATGCCTCAGCCAGCCCTGACCTTCCACGGGCTGGAGCACTTCAGGGTCTGCTGTGGCTTCAGAGGAGGAAAAAAAATAAAGGAAAAAAGTTATTGTTGGATGGTTGGGTTTTGCTTGGTTTTGTTCGGTTTTGGTTTTAAATGTAACAAATCTCTGGCTAGCCCAAGGCCAGCGAGATGGGCTTGCACTGATGAGAAATGACCCTTTGTCAGGGAATCCCCCAGTGCTCTGGGGGGTGTGACTGCCAGGAGCTGCAGAGGGGCTGGGAGGGGAGCCTAGGAGCCAGGAACATTGTGGTGCTGCTCTTGAGCTTTGGGGCCTTTACCTTGCCTTGCAGCGCCTGGTGAGGACTCACAGATGGTGTTGGAACAGGAATGAAGTGTGCACAGGATGGGAAGGGCATCTCCCAAATGCTTTGCAGGCTTGCTGAGCAAGAAGGGCTGAAATACTGCAGCCTCCTCACTCCCAGCAGCAGCTCTGGGTGTCTGCAGAGACTCTTGGCACAGGCGCAGTGCTCTGAGCTGGCAAGAAACTTCCTGACAGGATGGACGGAAAATGCTGATTTGAAGAAATTGAAATGTTCTGTAGGGAATATGTGGATTTTTCATCCTGTTTTTGTGATGGAAAGCAGGCATCTTTCCCAGGTGATCCTGCCTGGTGTCACCTCCTGTGTGAGGCTGAGCTGGGACCTGGGTGCACAGGGAGCCCAGGCACTGCTCTCCCTGCTGAAACACCAAGGACGGGTCTTGACAGGGTAGAATGAGGGGGAAATTCAGTGTTTTTCCTCCTTAAATGAGAATTTGATGTGGGCTGTGAAAGTGGCATGTTTGTGCGTTTGGTTTGAAACAGACAGTTCACAGGTTTAGGTGTGAAAACACAGTAAATCCAAGGTCAAGTGAGATTTTTCCAATGAAAAAAGAAAAATTATTTATTGAGTGAAGCAGTTAAATACCAGAGCAGTTGTACTTTGTCGAATACCAAGGGAACTAACCTCCTCCCTCTCCTTGTCCTCAGGTTCAGTGGCAAATATGAACATTTGTCAACAACACCTCGGGACATCATGAGTTTGCTGGAATCTGGACCACAGAACACTTGCAATAGCGCTTTCTAAATTTGAATTTAATTTAAATGAAAGAAAAATAGTCCTCTGGATCGACTGCAGCGATGGCTAGCAAAAGGAAATCCACAACTCCCTGCATGATACCAGTAAAAACACTGGTGCTTCAGGAGACCGAACAGGACGCTGGAGAAGATGATCATGAAGGAACACAACCCGAGGCTCCTGCAGAAGGACCAGCAGCGAGTGATGCCGGGGCTGGCAGCGGTAACAACGGAGCTTTGTCCAACGGGCACCGCGGCGTTGCCGACGGTGACACTTACATCTGCAGGCCTTGTGACTTTGGCTCTCAAGACCTTCACCAGTTCTTTGGCCACTTGGACTCTGAGCACTCAGACTTCAGCAAAGACCCTGCGTTCGCCTGTGTCGGGTGCAGCTTCCTGGCCAACAGCCACGAAGGGCTCTCGCACCACAACGCTGAGGCGCACGCCGGCGAGGCCGGCTTTGTCTGGAGGCTGGTGAAGCAGGACAGTCGTACGACCGTGGAGCAAAGTCTCTGTGAGGCCACCAGCAGCCACGACCTGCCAGGAGAGGTCCCTGAGGAAGGGGCGGACGGCCAGTCTGAAATTATCATTACCAAAACCCCTATCATGAAGATAATGAAGGGTAAACCCGAGGCCAAAAAAATCCACACGCTGAAGGAGAATGTGTCAAGTCAGCTGGGTGGTGAGGCAGAGGTGAAGGATGGAGAGCATTCATTCCCAAATGGGTCTGTGCCAGTCAGCCAGCCCACTGCAGGTTCATCAAAGTCATCCCACATAGTGAATGGCTCCATCATAGGAAACGTGCCTGTTCTGCAGGCGGGTGTTGCACAACTTGTGTCTCTGCAGCAGCAGCCCCCCTTGCATCAGCAGCTCCCTACATCCAAGTCCCTTCCCAAGGTGATGATCCCACTGAGCAGCATTCCCACGTACAATGCTGCCATGGACTCCAACAGCTTCCTGAAAAACTCTTTCAACAAGTTCCCCTACCCCACCAAAGCTGAGCTCTGCTACTTGACTGTGGTGACCAAGTACCCAGAAGAGCAGCTGAAGATTTGGTTCACTGCCCAGAGGCTGAAGCAGGGCATTAGCTGGTCACCAGAGGAGATCGAAGATGCCAGGAAGAAGATGTTCAACACTGTTATTCAGTCTGTGCCACAACCCACCATTACAGTGCTGAACACGCCCCTGGTTGCAAATCCTGGCACTGTTCCCCATCTTATCCAGGCAACTTTACCAGGCCACGTGGTGGGGCAGCCAGAGGGGACAGGGGGGCTGCTGGTCACGCAGCCCATCATGGCAAATGGCTTGAAGGGCACCAGCTCCTCTTTCACCTTGGCAGTGACTTCTGTCCCCAAGCCACAGCCGGCAGCGCAGCACAGCACCGTGAGCTCCAGCAACACATCGGGGGTCAAGGTGGTCAACAGCGGCCAGTCCCTGCTCACCGCCTGCCCTGCCATCTCCTCGCAGACCTTCCTGGACCCCAACGTCTACAAAAACAAGAAGTCCCATGAGCAGCTCTCAGCCCTCAAAGGCAGCTTCTGCAGAAACCAGTTCCCTGGCCAGGCTGAGGTCGAGCGGCTGACAAAGATCACGGGCTTGTCCACCAAGGAGATCCGAAAATGGTTCAGCGACAGGAGGTACCACTACAGGAATGTGAGAGGCGGCCGGGCCGTCTTCCCTGGAGACAGCGCTCTTGATTCCCTGCCCGAAATCACCTTAGACGTCCCACCCCGAGGAGCTGAGCTGAGCCCTGCGGCGGTGGCGGCCACGCCGGCCCCTCACCACCCACCACGGCGGCAGTCGTGGCACCAGGCGCCCGACTTCACCCCGACCAAGTACAAGGAGCGAGCGCCGGAGCAGCTGAAGGCCCTGGAGAGCAGTTTTGCCCAAAATCCCCTTCCTGCCGAGGAAGAGGTGAACCGCCTGAGGGGGGAGACGAAGATGACGCGGAGGGAGATCGACAGCTGGTTCTCGGAGAGGAGGAAGAAGAAGGTGGCGGAGGAGAATAAGAAAGTGGAGGAGGTGGCTCAGCAGGAGGACGAGGAGGCAGAGAATGGCGGCGGGGAAGGGGAAGACTCCTCGGATGAGCAGAGGGCCACGAGTGAAAACGGCTCAGTCGACGCCTCCGGCAGCAACCCCAGCGCGGCGGAGCGGAAGGTGAGTCCCATCAAAATCAACCTGAAAAACCTGCGAGTGACCGAGTCCAACGGCAAAAACGAGGTACCGGGGACCGGCGCAAATGAAAAGGGGGACGGCAGCTCCAGCCGGCCGCCCACCCCTCCCAAAACCAAACTGAACTTCAAAAAAACGGCCCAGCAGCGGCATCTGCTGAAGCAAATGTTCGTGCAGACCCAGCGCCCCACGAACCAGGAGTATGATGCCATCGTGTCCCAGACGGGCCTGCCGCGGGCCGAGGTCATTCGCTGGTTCGGGGACAGCCGCTATGGCTACAAGAACGGGCAGCTGAAGTGGTATGAGAACTACCGGCGGGGGGTCTTCCCCCCGGGGCTGGTGGAGGTCAGCCCCGCCGGCCGGGAGGTGCTCGAGGACTACTACGAGAAGCACAAGGGGCTGCGGGAGGAGGACGTGCCCGGCCTCTGCGAGCGCGCCCGCCTCGGCGCCCAGCAGCTCAAGGTGTGGTTTGCGGTGAAGGCGGAGGAGCAGGGCAGGGGCTGCGGCCCCGAGGCGGCCGGCAGCCGGAAAGGGCCGTCGGAGAGCAGCGAGGCGTGGGAGCCGGGCGGCCAGGAGGGCAGCGCCGGGAGCCCCGCCGCGCCCGGGCCGCCGCCCGCCACAGGGCCGGGTAAGGCCCCTGCTCGGCGCGGGAGGGCTGCGGGGGGCTCGGGGCGCTGCGCCTCGCGCGTTTCGGAGCGGCTCCAGCGGAGAGCTGGGAGCCTGAGGTTTGACTGAGGAAGTGGTGAGGAGCTCTCTCTGAAGGAAGGAGGGTGAGGAGGGTCTGGCAGGGTGATGCGAGTGCCGCTGCCTGCCTGCCCTTTCCTGCCTTGGTCTTTGGGTGATGGCACCACTCAGAGACCAAGTCCTGGCTGTATTTCAAGCTGGAGCAAAACTTTAGGGGTGTCTTGTCATTTTAGAAGATGACCCATGGATTTATTTAATTTATTTGGTCAGAAAGGGGCCTGGCTGCTTGTCCTGTGCTGCTGGTTCCTTCCATGTCCCTGCCTGACCTCCAGCAGCAGGGACACCCCTGCCTCCTTTCTCTCTCCTGCTGCCTGCTTTCCGGACGTGAGCATCCTTGTTTGGTGTGGAGAAAGGCTCAGGTGGTGAAGGTGGAGGCTGCAGAGGCAGGAGGGGACCTGGAGTCTGCAGAAGTCACTTTTGGAATGCGTGTTTCTGTGTGTGCGTGTGTGTGTGGAGGAGAGCACAGGTGCTTTCCAAGCCCTTTGTGGGCTTTTCTGCAGTGCAGCTGGGGGCTGCTTCCAGCCTGGTAGGGTTCCCACCAGGTGGGGATGGCCAAGTGCTGGCCCTGTCCCATGGTGGTGCACGCACACAGCTCCTTGCTGGCCAGCTGGGATCTTCTCCAGTCCCACTGCCTTGCTTTGGAGCTTCCCACATACCTCTGCCATGGCTGCAGACCTTAAAAAATAATTATAAAAATCAAGTAACATTCATTGCTTGTATGCTTTGCAGGGGAAGGGTGGGTCTGGGGACTGGTGCAGGGTCAGCTTTTGTGCTGGGGAGTGGCTGTGCCTCTGCTAGTGCCCTCTGATGAGCATTGCTTTCTGCCAGCCAGAGCGAGGGTCCTGTCAACCCTCGTGGCATGGAGGTGCTTAGCAAAGGTGCATCCCTCCTTAGGGGTGGAAAACCAACTGCACTCCCTCAAGGATTTTGGGTTTCCTGGCCCCTCTGAATGTTGCTAGCCCTTCTTTGCAGCTGACTCTATCAAGGCTCCTGATCTTGCCTGTCCTGAGGCACTCCTGTGTCCCCTCCTGCCCACCCAGCACCCCACCTGGAGCAAGGCCAGGAGCATCTCTGACACCTGTGTTCTTTTTCAGAAACAGACTGAACTGAAGCCAGCAGCCCCGGAGGATCCGCTCTTACCCTTGAGAAGAAATCAGTGATCTTTCAGAAGCCCATGGGCCGGTCTGAGCCAAGCCTGAGGAGCAGCACGTGGTGATGAAGCACTGCCATACCTGAGACCTTTGAGCACAGCACGTGCTCACACTGGGCACTCGGTGCTGAGCTCTTGGTGGCCCAGCCTAGGAGATGGCTGGGAGCTGGCAGGGGCTCAGCTCACACCCAGGAAATAGGATGCTCCTGTTTGCTTTCCAGTGACAGACTTTCAGATTTCATATTCATATACCGATGCCTACAGCTGCCTATACAAGCATAACAAATCTCAGACATTGTAAACAAGGTCATTGCTTAGATATGGACTATCATGGCATAGTACTTGTTTCTTTTTTCTTTTTTTTTTTCATCTGTCCATTTAGGTGTTTGTTCTCTAAAGGTTGGCATGGCTGCATATATCCTCTCTGCCCTTTCTGGTCCTTAAGCCCTGGCAGTGAAGAGCTTTGTGGGCACATAGGTGTGAGTGTGTTAGGAAAGGGAAGGGATTTGAGAAGAAAACTGCCAATTTTGAATTTGAGTGAGATTCTCACCCCTCCAGATGAGGTTAGAGTGAGCATTGCATACTCTCTGATAAGCAGCAGGTTCCCAGACCGAGGCAGCCCAGGAGATGGAGTTTGGTGTCATTTGTCCCTTGCTGGCTAGAACACTTTCCCTGTGCTCCTGGAGACTGCCTGTAACAGCCTGTTAAATCTCCAAGTCTCTCTTTAATATCTGAGAACTAGCACATAATAATTTTTGCATCCTGACCTGGAATCCTTTTCATTGTTTAGAGAGAACAGTCTGTTCTTCAGAGAACAAACACAGAGAGTCACAGCGTGGCTGTGAGTGGTTCAAGTCATTGTTGTCACCAAGGCAGCGGCTCTGCTGCCACCAGGAAGTTTCCTTCTTGCAGCCCTACATGGCAGATCCTCCTGCAGCACCGCTGGTGATTTCAAGTGTTTGTTCCAGTCCTTTTTGTTTTTCTTTTCTTATTTTTCCCTTTTTTTTTTCCCCCCAGGCCATGTGCAATAGTTCTGGAAAAAGAGCAAAATAAATTTCCCAGTTATCCTGCCTGCTGCCTGGTACCTGTACATTTTTAATGTGTGTTGTCTTGTGTGGTTGCTGTGTGATGCAACTGCTTGGACATTTTTGCTTTAAATATTCTTTTCTAATAGAAAACAAAGTCTAGAAGGGAAACTCTTGAGCTGAATAGTCCAGCCAAATGCTGTGTCAGATCGTTCTGTCACAAACTAATCAAATCCCAGCTCCAAATTGGTTCCATGTTTTGCCTTCACTTTTGCTCTTGGAAGGCTAGTCCAGAAATTGACTGCCTTTGAGTGGTTAGAAACTGTATTTAAATTTCTAGTTTGAATTAATTTGTGGCTGGTACATTCCTGGTTTGTTTTGGAGCCAACATTGTCCTTTAACTTAAATAGTTTTTGGTGTTTATCTGCTGATGTATTTATGGAGAGTAGTCATAGCTCCCTATTTTTTGCCAAGCCAACTCAGCCAAGCTTTTTCAGTAGAAGGTTTTTATTTAGTGAGAGCTTTTTAATGTGGGAGACTTTATTGTTGGTGGTAAATGATATTTATTAGGAGGGTGGGTAGCAAACCCCACAGGATCAGATCCAGAGATTTACAAAAAATCTGTTTTAAAAACAAAAAAGCTCTTTCAGAACCTCTTCCAAAGATGGTGTCTGATTTCTACCTTTAACTGCCCTTGCTTTTGCAGTTCTTTCTTTGCCCCCTCTTCCAGAGGCCCCCTTGCTCAGCTGCTGGAAGGGGCTGTGGCTGCTCAGTGCTTTGGCAGAGGCTTCCCCTCGCCTGGTGGGATGTGCTGGGTGCTTGTTCCTGAGCTCACAGGGCTTGCCTGGTGTGAGACCATGGCCAGGTGTGACCATCTGCTCCAGACAGGTGAGCTGCACCCCACGGAGAGCGGGGTGACACTGGGGTGTGCCCACTGTGCATCCCACAGCCAGAGCAGCCACCCCAGCACGCTGTGAGCAGGGCTGCCTCCGACCTGGAGCAGCCTGTGTGGCACCAGGCTCCCTGAATTTGCCTTTGGGAGCACTGCTGATGGTTGTGACACAGTTGGAGGCAGGACCAGCAGCCATCCCACCTTGGCTGGTGATGGCTCAGCTGGTGGCATCCCCATGGGTCCCTCTTTGGGGACCAGGGACAGCTGCCCTGTGGTGACAGCCCCAGGGGTTCACCCTCATGGGTGCAATCCTGTGCACCCCAAAATATCAGAGAGGGTGGCAGAATCTGGGTGGTTCTAGAGCTAAAAGCAGATGTGGGAGTTGTGCAGCCTAAGAATATGGATGTATGTAAGTGTCACCTTCAGAGAACAAATACAGGTAGGTCAATTTACTCTGTAGTGTCTGTGTACATGCAGGTTTATTTAACTACACATATATACAGTTCAAATATGCCATTGATTCTTTATTGCATTATGATGTACATTACAAATGTACACTTTTACTAACTACTTGCTATATAAATACGTTGGAAGTGTAGTTTGCCCATTCAAGGTGATTTTCTGTGGGATTTTTGATGTACACTTTAGGGCCTATGGCTGATTGGAAGAGTGATCCCCGCTCCATCTACAGGAATGCTTAAGGACTATGGTATGAACTGGTCCCTTCAAACCATGTTTTGATGCACTAGCTGAAATATTTTGCACTTGGATTGTATTCAGCCAGTTTTCCAGAAAAATTGAAAAGAAGTCTTGTGAGCTAGAGGGAGAATTTCCCGGTGTACACAGAAAAACCAGCCTTGAGGGTTGGAAGCTGCTGAGGTTTTTGAGCTTTGTCTCCATGCATTCATACAAGCACAGCAGGAGTTTTCTTTCTTTTGGGTCGGAGGAATTTTAAAAAGTGGTTCCATGCAGACTCCCCTCGGACATGGCAACGGGGCTGGCAAATGCCTTTGCATGGGGAGGGTAAGATTTAGACAAAAAAGAAATCAAAACATGATTGAGTTCCCTTTCTAACTCCTACATTCCTTGTTATCTGCATTTTTTAGTTGACTTGAAATCTCCGTAAAAGTATAAGCTGAAGATTTTTGAGGGTTTAGCTCTGTGGTCTTCTGTTTCTCTGCTGAGGAGGAGAAACAGGTGCCATCTCCAAACAGACTGGGTTCTGGTGCAGGACATTGGAAAAGTGTTTGCATCTGAAACTGAAAAGAAAAATTGAGAGGTGGCTTGACAGTCCCAACAGCAGCTCTTGTGGTGTTAAGAGGAAGTGTCACCACAATTCTTCACAGTGTGTGAATATTTATCATCATCTAATCAAAGATGACTATCTTGACTTGAAAGGGGTGTAAGATCGAGGTGATGTAGCCATCATCAGTAAGGAAGGGAAATTAAATTCTCCACCTCCATCCGCTGTGCCTGAGCTTGGGCTTGGCAGGCACAGCAGAAACCATCAGTTTTAATCCATGTGAATCTTGTTACTTGTGTCTCTGAGGCTGCTTAGATTAAGGACACAATCCAATTGCTTAATAACCCGAAACCCTGATTTGTGTTTGCCCTGGCTTGCTCATGGGAAGGGCTGCTGGTTCTCCTGGTGCAAGGAACTGAGTTTCTTTATTCATTGATGTCAGCAGCTCCTGCCATGAGATTTCTGTGCATTGTCCCATGTTTCATTTGGGTACCTTATTTTTCAGCTCTGTAATTAGCATCCTTGAAATTTATTTTTTTTTTTAGCAGAACACTAAACAAACAATGATCTACAGGCTCCTGTCTCCACTTGCCTGAGAGCTGAGTGATGCTGCACACCAGGCCAGCAGCATGCTGGGAGGATGGGCACAGGTGCTTGCAGGTACTTAGTGTGATTTCATGTCCCCTCCCTGAGCTGGTCACCAGGAGAAGCCACCAGCAAGAGCAGTAGCTGCTGGCAGAGAAGCACTGTAGTCCTTAACCTGGTTGGAGGATGCTCACCAGAGCTGGAAGATACCTGCTGGGTTAATTTTTGTTATATGTCCCCTGACAGTTCAAGAGAGGGAAGCTGTAGGAGGCTGGTTTTTCATTTAGGGTTTTGGGTATTTCATTTTTTTAATTGGAAAGCAACAGATTTTGGTCACCTGAAGAAGTGTTATATTGTTTTCCCTGCAGCCCCTCTGTTACAGATATAACAGAGGCAAACTGATCAGAAGCTTGCTCATTGGCAATCAGAAGAAAAATATAATTTTCAGCACTTGGGCACAAATTACAAAGTGAACGGGATGCTGCACATTCCCATTAGGGTGACAGTATTCAAAATGTTTGTAAATGTCTTCACCCTGTTGCTCAGATGATTTTGGCTTTGCTCTCTTCAAATCAGTCAAGGTCCTGATGTGATTCAGCTCACCTGTAAAGCTCTGGTGTCACTTCTCAGCTGATCCCAAAACCAGCAGGGTAAGATTAGCACATGGAGGGGAACGAGGCACTTGCAGGCTATCCCTGTTCTTCTGTTTATTGAGGAATTTAGTTTCTGCTGTATGTTTACTGGCAGTGGTGTGTGCCAGGAATGTTGGATTGGCATCAGAAAACTTGAAAGCAGAGCAAGTTAGCTCAGTTATGTAAGCAGTGATTTTTATTTTTTTTTAATTTTGGGTTTTCTTGTTATGGCCCAAGTGCTCAATATGCTTTTGGCATATTCTGATGGCACCCTTTTTCCCTGTACTGATGGAAGGTGGTGTTAGGAGGATTCTTGCTTACTGGTGCTAGTGAAGGTTGGGCTAGGAATCCATGGCATAGAAAATTTCTAGCTAAAATTGCACTTTCTCTCTGCCCCATCTGGCTCGTGGTGGTGTTATGGGTACGTGGCTGTGATTCCCCTTGCACATACTAACATTGCACTAAAAGAGAGACTTTGGGAACAGCGTGTTGATCACTTTGTTTCTCAGCAGACCACAAAGTCAGCCTAACGGGGTCTCTTTTTTTTTTTTTTTTTTTTTTTTTTTTTTTTTTTTTTTTTTTTTTTTTTAATTATTGTTATTTAGAAATCACGCTGGTGCTGAATGACCTGGAATTTTTGCTTGGATTTATCCAAAGGAAAATGTAATTGTAGCTGCAACGGGACCTTTCATAAGGGTGGCCGGTGCAGTGAGGGAGCAGGGTGAGAGCTCTGCTGTGTAAAGCTGTCTTTGTACCGGGGAGGTGTGGGGGGTTCCAGGGGGTTGTTACTTTGGTTTTTTTTTTTTCAAGACCACAATTTTAAATGGTCACCTTGGCAATGGTGTGAAACAGGAAATAGTTTTTACTTTTGGTAAAGGTTTTAAAGAGGAAACAAAAAAAGAAGCTGCCTGTGATTGTGGGCTGTAGCTATTATTAGGGCTAGGGTAGCTTGTATGTGCTATGGACTTTACCTGCTCTTATTCTGAGGGCAAGAACTCCCTGTAGCAACAATGCCACTTCTGAGAAGTGAACGGCAAGTTTCCCTTCCTTTTGTATATGTGGATGTGAGGGTGGGCAAGGGGAAGAGCTTGCTTGTACAGTTTGTTGAAATGAAACCAGACATTTTTGGTTGTTCCTAAATAAAGAGCGTAAAAATCAAACGTGAGTTGAGTGGTGCTTGCACTGGGGCTTGGGAGGGCCCAGGAATGGCTGTGCCTGCCTTCCAGCTTCTGGGCTGGGAGTGCTCCATCACAACCTCCTCTTTTATTTTAAAAGAACGACAACTTTTCCATGGGGTAAGGCCATGAGTGAGTGCCCAGACACCTCCACCCTAGGGGTGCTTCTTCATCCCAGAGTTCTGTCTCCAGCCTGCCTCAGAACAGCACAGGAACTTTGTTTTACCCTTTTGAGTGAACAGCATAAAACCTGGGGCTGGTCCTAGTTATTTTTCATCTCTTAAAGCCAGGAGAAAGTAAAGAGCAGTGCAACTTCTCAGGAACGGCTGCACCTCAGCTCTGCAGGGCACAGACCACCAGACACCTGAGCCAGCACACACATAATACTGACACTTTTATTGTCATTTAAAGCTAGAGTGGCCCTGTAAATGTAGAGTTTCACTACTGGACCCTTCGGCAGTGGCTATACAGGTCAGACGTGGTGGCACCAGGACAGACAGAGGTGCTGCTGTGTCACTGCAGGCCCAGAGCTCTGGGAATGGACACAGCACGGGATGGCTGCAAACAGGCTCCAGCAGCTGCACACGATCTCTGGGTTACAGGCAGAGCAGTGATGCAGAGGCTGGACGGGGAATCTTTAGGTCTCTCCTTGTGATTACAGACAGTTTGGTCTCTGGCAGCCTGGCCGCACCGACACGCTTCTTAAGGGCTTCGTGGTGAAGGGTGCTGGGGCTGGTCCGGGGTGGGGTTTATTTCCAATATTTTTTTTTTCTTTTTTTTAGTTCTCCACTTGAACACACTTCAGCAGAGAAACCGGAAAAGCTGCCTGAAAGTAGGCCATAGCAGTGCCGTTTCCATAGAAACCAGTTCACAGCGTGCTGTGAGATTCACAAGCACTGGAGGTGCTTTCGCCCGCCAGGATGGGCTACAGCCGGTTGTCCCCGTTGACCCGGGTCCTCCGCAGTACCCTGCAGGGGGGCACACAGAGGGGACACAGCTCAGCCTCACGGATGACCAGGGATAATGCTCTGATGGTCCCAAGTTGTCCATTGGAGTAAAGTGGGGGCTCAGCCACATCGCCCATGACTGGGGATAATGGCACCAGCTGTGGTGTCCCACCCTACCCCCACAACTTGCAGCTCAAATTTAGGGTTTGCAAGCAGCAAACGCGGCCGCAGCTCCACTTTGAGTTGGTTGCATTCACTGCCTGCAGCCAGACTCAATGCAGGGAGTGTGCTATGCTGCAGGGGAAGAGCTGAATGGGCACTGGCCTCACCTTCGCTCCCGGCTCTCGAAGTGGTCAGCGAGCTGCTCTGGGGACACACGGAAATCCTCGAAAGGCTGCTGGTACCGCAGCTCAAAGGAGCCCTCCCTGCCTCTGCTTGCCAGCAGCTGGCTGGAGCCATCCCCTGCTCGCTCCCGTAGGGATGAGGCATTGAAGAGGTTTATTTCGCCATTTTCCTGCTTGGATGAGGGAAAAAATGCTGTAGTCAAGGGCTTGTGATTTCAAAGCATACATCCTGGAGCAAGGGCAGTTGTGGGGCAGAGCCCTGCTGCCCTGCAGGGTGTCCAGGGCTCATGGGGGCTTGGGGTTTGCAATGTGCAGCTGCTCTAACAGCCATCGCTGGCTCCCACCAGCACCATTTGAAATGCAGAAATAAAAGAACCATCTGTCTCAGAAGGAGCCCTGCCCTCTGTTTATGCCAACAGGGACAGCCCCAGGCCAGCCAGCTCCATGATCCTGAGCTGCAATGTCCCTGGAGCACAGACAAGGCAGTGTGACAAATCCGCCTTCTCCAGCTTTTGCTGAAGGGATTTCAGGCAAGTCAAACCCAGTGCAGGCAGGGCCCTGCCTGAAAGACCCTGACTGCTGCAGGAGGCAAACCCAGTGCTTGCTGTCCTGTGGGCATCCCCATGGAGCAGCACTGGGAATTCAGCCATCCACCACTGAGCCTCACTGCCCCAAGTGGAGCAGGAGAGTGGGCAGGGCCAGGCTGGGCTCACTGCCTCAGCTCCTCAGCCCTACAGCATGGTCACCTTCTCATGTGTGCAGCCAGTCTCACCTTGCAAGGGAAAATGTCTATCTTGACAAGCAGAGAAGCCAGCTCCAGGTTCTCACTGTAGTTGTTCTTCAGGGGAACAGCTCGGAAACCTACAGCAGAGACAGCCCTGGTGTCACTCACAGCACAGGAGGTGAGGTGGCAGTGCCCTGGCACAGAACTCAAGAGGGTCTTTCTCCCACAAGACCCTTTTTCTCTTCTGCCAAGAGAAGCTGTGGCTGCCCCATCCCTGGAAGTGTCCAAGGGCAGGCTGGATGGGGCTCAGAGCAGCCTGGGACAGCAGATGGTGTCCCTGCCCATGGCAGTGGGGCTGAAACTAGATGGCCTTTAGGGTCCCTTCTAATCCAAACCAGTCTATGATTCTGTGATTCTCCAAGCCCCCAAATTTCCCTCAAACTGGCAGGTGGCCCCAAGGGCTGTTAGCAAATGGCTCTGCCTTCCTTTACCTGGTTGGGGATGTGACCTGTCATGGGGACAGGCTAAGCCAGCCTGGGGCCCAACAACACCCTCCTATGAAAGTCAGCATCGCCCTGGCTAACAGTGTGAACTGGTGAGGATCCCCATGACCCCCCTCCCTGCTGTCCCAAGTGCTTCACCTGTCTTCAAGCCTTTCACCAGGAAGGTGGCCTGGGCCAGGAAGTTCTCGTCGCTGAACATGTCCTCCTCATACACCACGAAGCGGAGGAAGGCAAAGTCAGGGTTGCTGACCTGAAAGTGGAACTGCTTCGGGGTCCAGAGAGGGTTCAGGCCGTTGTCAGCTGCTCACAAAACACAGCTGTCAGTGCCAGGCTTTGCTGCAGAGCCCATGGCTCACACCAGGGTCAGGAGTGCTGGTGCATCCCTCTCCCTTCCCTTCCCCACGCCACTCACCCACAATCTCTGTTTTGTGCTTGGCATTGTCGTACTCAGCACCAGACACCTCCACCTCCACGAAGGGACAAACGATTCCCCTTCCATTTTTGGGAAGGTGCCGGGCCCCCAGGACCTGAGCAGAGGGCAGGAGAGACTTGGTAAGAGACAGGAACAAAGGGGAAAAAATGTGTTTGCATACCAAGACATTTTCTTCCCAAATAAATCACCCTGGCTCTGCTAATTGGAGAGAGAAGCAGCACTGAGAGCCAGCCCAGCCCACATCTTGGAGAGAAACAGCTCCCACCCCTGGAAGCTGCTGTAGTGTTCTTGATCCACAGTTTGACTTGTAAGCCACAAAAAAAAGCAGCTGAACTGCTCCAGGTTGTGCCTGCTGCTGGCACAGCCAGGCCTGGGCCACAGCATCCCTCCCCAGGTGCCAAGCTGGAGCTGGGCTCCCCGCAAGCACCGTTCCCTGCTGGCAGCACCACCCTGGACCCCCTCATCTCTGCTGAACTTCTCGGCCCTCCCGCCTCGGTGTGAGGAGAAAAAGGAGCTGCTCTCCACCCTGCTCTGCCTCGTGCCTGCAGCACAGCCTGTGCTCCCTCACGTGACAAGAGAGAGCAGGAGAGCAATGGCAGCTCCCTCTTGCCCGTGGCCATATGTCGCCGCTGCTGCAGGGGAAGGACCTGCTGCCAACGCTGCATCATGTGCTTTGAGTCACGCTGGGCTCGAGATGGCTTCTCCATCCATGAAAGCTGGCTTTGCTGGGGACAGCAGGCACTTCTGCCAGACAACGAGAGGCTGAGCCTGTCTCTTAAAGGCGACAGTGACTGGCACAATGACTCTTGACACTTGGTGGGGGCAGCTGCATCCTGAGGTGCAGGAAGAGCTTGGAAAACAGAATGGGGCAGGGAATTTTTAGGGAGACAGTGAGCATGGAGTCAGTGGTGCAGAGGGTACATGACAGGGTGTCCTTATGGAGAAGAGCTGTGGCTTTTTTAGGGTGGATCACTCCAAAACAGAGGTGGCCACAGAGGAAACCTGTGAGCACCTGAAGGCAGGATCTCCACTGCATCCTCCCCAAGGTCTGCACGAGCTGAGGGGACTGGCAAAGCAGACTGTTGACTCATAGCTTGGTTCTGTGACCACAGGGAATGCCTGTACAGGCTACTGGACGCCACTGGACCCCAAACATGAGAGCCAGCTGGTTTGGCACGGCCCTCCAAAGCTTTGCCTGGTGAGCTCTCCCATGTCCCTGCAGAGCCTCTGCTGTGCAGCTCTGAGAGCTGACACAGGAACAACCCAGCCTCAGTTGCACCGTTAGGGAAGTAAAAAAAACTCATCAAATATCCATACCCCATCCTCTGGCACACCCCACCCTCAGCCCCCCTCCTCTTATCACCACCAGCAGCACAACACAGAAATGGCCTGAAAAGTTTGCCCTGACCTCGAGCAGCTTTCCAAGAGGGGCCATGAGCAAGGGGAAATGGAAACCTCGAGCCTGGAGCAACTGAGTGACAAGGAGGGGACAAAGCACAGCTCTCGTGTTGTTAGCCTGTGGATGCAGTCCTGGCCACGCTCTGGGGACAGGGATGCCACCTCTGCGGCTCGTGGATGCCACCTGCTGGCACCGGGACCTGGACTGGAGGAGTCCTGGGGGAGCAGGCAGGGATGCTCCTGCTGCTGCTCTCCAGGCACCCTCAGCACACCCACGAGTGCCCCTCTCCAGTCTGTGCTGCTCAGGGGGCTCGGTGAGGAGCAGCTGCAGGCAGAGCCAGGAGCCCAGAAAAACCATTCTCTCACCCCAAATCTGGTACCCCACTGGGGTCTGACCCTGCATTCCCCCACAGCAGGAGGTACTGACCTCAATGGAGATGGAGAGTGGTTCTGTGCCCCTCAACGTGCTCTTGTCAAAGGGGTCAAAGATGTCATCCCTCATGTTGGTCGGCTGCAGGACGTACCCACACTGGCCACTGGACATGAACAAGGCCTGGTTCATCTGCATGGGCTTGTCTAGAGCACAGGCAGGAGATACAGGAGATGAAGGATGCCCTGTGCACAAGCTGGATCATC